TGGCCGATTCCGGTGCACCCCTGACACGTTTCGTGGCCCCACAGTGGCTCCACAGTGGCTTTTCTACCCTCATACGTTTCGCGCCCCCACAAGGAATGGATTCCGCCGAGGACCTCCAACCGATTTCGGCGCACCCTTCAGACGTTTCGTGGTCCCAAACGAGGTTTCAGCGAACGCCTCATGCCATTTTCAACACAACGTCACACATTCCGTGGTACTACGAAGGGGCTCCACCGAGGGCTTTTGGTCGATTTCGGCGCCCCCTCACACGTTTCGTGGCCCCACAGTGCGCTTCAGCGTAAGCCTCACGCCATTTTCAGTACAACCTCACCCATTCCGTGGTAGCACAAGGGGCTCCACCGAAGGCATCGGGTTGCTTTCGGCGCACCCATCGCACTTTTCGTGTCCCCGCGAGGGGGGGTCGCGCGAAGGCCTCCCGCCCATCTATTCACAATCCTCACGCATTTCGTAGCTCGAAGAAGAGGCTCCTCCGAGGGCCTGGGGTGGTCGATTTCGGCACGCCCCATCACATGTTTCGTTGCCCCACGTAAGGGGGTTATCCATCTCCTTCTAGCCATTTTGGCAGGGGTGGGAGGAGGAGGAGGAGGAGGAGGAGGAGGAGGAGGAGGAGGAGGAGGAGGAGGAGGAAGAAGAGGGGGAGGAGGAGGTGGAGGGGGAGGGGGAGATGGCGAGGGGGAGGAGGAGGAGGGGAAGGAGGAGGAGGAGAGGGAGGGGGAGGAGGAGAAGGCGTTCCACCGAGGGGGTCTCTACCGAAGGCTCTGGGGCGCACATTTCGTGGCACGTGTCGTGGGCGGTCTGGGCGAGAGCGGCACACCAATGTGGCCGCGTGTCGTCTTTCCAGCGCTCGCTCATGCATGGCCGGACGCGCCAGCCCTCCGCATGTGTATCAGCTGGCGGGTGACTCTTACGTATTGCGCACGGGAGTCCACCCTTGCGTGCATGTCCTGCTTCCTGGTGTTTTTTTCCTCCCCCCCTCCGTTTCTCCTCCCGTTGACTCCTCTCCTTTCCCTTCTGTCCCCTCCTATTTCCTATCCTATCCCCCTCTCCCTCCTCTTGCCCTTCGCTCCTCGTATCCCTTCTGCATCTGCTATCCCTGCTTCGCTCTTCCTATTCAGTGTTCCTGCAATGCTACGTGTTGTTGTTATTGCTGCAGCTGCTGCTGCTGTTGTTGTTGTTGTTGTTGTTGTTGTTGTCGTTGTTGTTGCTGTTGTTGTTGTTGTGGTTGTTGTTGAACTTTCATTTCTAAATAATAATCATTGTTGATCCCCCCTCATCGGTGCATACTATTTGTCTCAATCAAAGTGTCCCCGTCGACGCTCGCACCCTGTTTTTTGACAGGCAAGTCTTCCTGCTCAAACTGGGCCCCTGGCCCCCCGGATTACAACAACAACAACAACGGCTCCCGCCTGAGTTTTCCTCCAAATTTACTCAGGACACCCGCTCCTGAGACTTCTTCACAATTTACTCAGGATCGGTGCTCCCGCTTGGGTCAGGACCCCCGCTCCCACCTGAGACTTCCTCACACTTTACTCAGGAACGGCGCTCCCGCTTGAGACTTCCTCGCAATTGAGTCAAGACTTCATGGCAATTTAATCGAGACCCCCGCTCCCGCCAGAGAACCCATCACATGGTATCCAGGAGTTGCGCTCTCGCCTGTGACTTCCATGCAATTTATTCAGAAATCGCGCTTTCGACGCTCAAGAAACACGCTGCGCCAAGGACGCCCTTACAATCTACTTAGTAATCGCGCTCTCGCCATACTCAGGCATCCCGCTTGAATGCCTCACCCGCCCGACCTGCCCGTCAGGGGATCGCCCGCCCGTGGGCTCCCGCTCGAGACCTTCAAGAACGGCGCTTTCACCTAGGACTTCCTCGAACATTCACGCTCTTCCCTTCCTGCTCCTCCTCCCTTTCCGTCCTCCTTCCTCCTCTCCTCCCTTCTCTCTCCCTCCTCTCTTCCCTCATCCTTATGTCTCTCTGCCCTCTCCCCTCTCCCTCCTGTCCCTCCTCCCTTCTCCCTCCCCTCTCCTGCCTCCTCCCTCCCTCCTTCTTTCTTTCTTTCTCTCTCTCTCTCTCTCTCCCCTCTCTCTCTCTCTTTCTCTACCTCTCTTATCTGTCTCTCTCTCTCTCTCTCTCTGCCTCTAATCAACCGCCCCCCCTCTTCGCTCCTTCTCTCCTGGCGTTTTCCCTCTTCCTTCGTCCCTCCCCCTCCCTTCCTCCCACTCTCCCTCGTTCTCCTCCTGCCCTTTTCCAGGCCCCAAACCAATTCCAATGGCGGGCACATGTACGCCCACGAAGGATTGTCCGCCCGTTCAGGTTTGTGCGCCTGTCTAAGCCCGCCGCCCCCCGCAAATAGAAATAATCCCCCCCAAGGGGGTGTGATCGAAGACAAAAAGGGCTGGTATCGAGGGTGTGGGGAACTTGTTTTGAATGACAGACGGGCAAGTATGAGCGAAAAGTCTCATACTGATTGTTGTCTTGTTGATTGACACGTGACCTTCTTGCCGGGGGACCCCCCAGTAACCAGCAACCAGCAACCGAAGGTTAATTTCAGCACGCCCCTCTCGAGGATCGTGGCGATGGCATCACAGGGAGCTCCACCGAAGGTTCATGTCGGCACACCCCTCCTGGGATTCGCCGGTTCCTAGACGATCGTATCGGATTCCGAATCGGATCCTAGAGGTATCGTGCATGATCCTATAGGGATGCCATCGGATCCTATAAGGATCCCATAGGGATCGTAAAGGATCCTATAGGGATACCATCGGATCTGGTACTATAGCGATCCTTTTGGAGCCGTATAGGACCCCAGAACGATCCTAGGAAGACCCTCTATGGGATCCTATGCGATTCCCATCGTCTCCTACACGGTTCTTGTATAATCCCCCATACGATTTCCATTGAATCCTTTAGGATCACAGGGGATTCCTACACAATCCCTTTACGATTACCATCGGATTTGCATTGGATTCCGACACGATCCGTTTACGACTCCTATAGGACTGACTGTATACGATTCCTATAGGATCCTAAAGGGTCGCAGTTGATTTTTATACATTCCGTATACGATTCCCATCGTACTCTATAGGATTGCATGGGGTTCCTGCACAATCTCTTTTCGATTCGTATAGGATCCTACAACCCCTATAGGGTCCCTATAGGATCCTAGGATCGTATGGGCTTCTTATACGTTCCCCATACGATTCTCATATGATCGTATAGGATTGCATGGGGTTCTTATACAATCCGTATACGGCCCCTAGAATACCCAATCGGATCGCATGGGTGTCTTATTCAATCCCCATACGATTCGTATAGGATCCGGCAGGGTCGCGTGGGATTCCCATACAATCCCCATCGGGTCCCTATAGGATCCTATCGGATCGCATGGGGATCTTATACAATCCGTAAACGAATCTCATAGGATCCTGTATGATCGCATGGGCTTCCTATTCAATCCTCATACGATTCTCATAGGATCCTATAGGATCGCATGGGGGTCCTGTAGAATCCTTATTGAAATCCTATAGGATCTTATAAGACCGCATGGGAGTCCTGTACAATCCCCATCAGATTCTCATAGGATCCTACAGAATCGCATGGGATTCCTGTACAATCCCCATCCCACTCCTATAGGATCCTAGAGTGTCGCATGGGATTCCTGTACATCTCCCATACGATTCATTTAGGATCCGACAGGGTCGATTGGGATTTTTGTGCAATCCCTGGACGATTCCTGCATGATCCCACAGGATCGCAGTGGAACCCTATTGAATCCCCATTGGATGCCAATAGGATCCTATAGGGTCGCACAGGACCCCATATAGGATCCCTATAGGATCCCTGTAGGATTCCTATAGGACTCTATACGATCATGTAGGAGCCGATACATTCCGGAACTTCGCTGGTGCAGACATGGAAACATAGCATGAAGGAGGAGTTCACACCCTTAAGCAAGCGAGGTTACAGCGGAGCGAGGAATGGAACCCGAGGTTGTTGGTTGCTGGTTGCCAGGGGGGGTGTTAACCCCCTGGAAGGAAGGCCACGGGTTGTCATTCAAGGACAAGCGTTGACCAAGTTTCCCGGTGAACGGGCAACAAGGTCACGTGTCAACCTTGTTGTTGTTATTGTTGTTGAACATTATTTCTTCTTAAGAATAATTATTGTTGGGGCCCCTGGTGCGCGACCCCCCCGCCGCGCCTAGGCCGCAGCCTCATTTTCATCATTTTCGTGAGGAAGTCTCAGGCAAAACGGGTTGGTCCGGATCCGGTTGTGTTGTTACGATCGGTTTTCCCTTGCAAAAAATAAGCTAAAGTGGACATTTCTTGTTCTAACATAACCAAACTTCAAGAATCCCTTGCAAAAAATAAGGTAAAGTGGACATTCGCGCGCGCAAGACGAAATCCTTCCAAAACCTTAGTTTTCGTAGCGATTTTAACATAAAAACATCAAAAAACCAATGGTTTTTCAACAAAAAAATGTCAAAATTCATCCCGCGCGCTCTTGCGGATTCGTAGGAAACCCAACACTTTTTAAACATTTCTGTCAAACGGGCTTTTGCGAGCAACTTTTTCGAACTTCTGCAACAACGGTTGCGCACCTGCCAGGGCCATCATCCCTGTCAAATAATACCATGCGGGACACATTCGTTTTTTCTTCGCGCGCGCACGCCGTCGTCGTCGGCCGCGGGGCCCTGAATAGTAGCCACGGTCGTCCGCATGCCACGAAGTGAAGTGTCCGAACGTCATAGGGCGGGAAGCTGGGTGTGGGTGGTGGCGAAGAGTCGTTTGGAAATTTGGTAGAGCTTGAACCGGCCCCCCCACAAAGTGGGGGTATTGCCCGCCTCCTATGAAAACCCTGGCACTGGTGAGAACGGAGTGTCCCCACGTGCTAGTAATTGTTGTTGTTGTTGTTGTTGTTGTTGTTGTTGTTGTTGTTGTTGTTGTTGTTGTTGTTGTTGTTGTTGTTGTTTTGTTGGCGTTTCCTCTCTCTTGGCGGCGGGCGCGTGCCTGGCCGCCAGGGCCGCTCTGCGCGCCCTGCAACAAGAGCAGGCGCACGGCGCCCCTTCGCGCGGCCAGGGTTTGTTGCCTCTCCGGGGGGGGCCGGAGCCGAGCATCGGCCCCGGCATCTTCCTCGGTGCCGTGTCATATCTGGTGCATTGGCTCTTCTCGGCGACTACAAACGGTGTGGTTACGCCGGAGTGTGGTTTGCGATCGGCACCGCTGGGGCCTGGGGGGCACGGCGCTGTCCTCGTCGGGCCTCCTCAGGGCGCGGGAGAACTCTATCGAGGTCCCCGCGCGCCCCCTAGGGTGCCCCCCAGGATGTTCCCCAGGGTGCCGGTTGCAAACCACACCATTTGCAAACCATACCCTTTGGAGTCGCCGATCTTCAGCCAACCTTAGACTTGGTAGTGGAGGCCCACGGATCGGAGGAGGAGGAGGAGGACGAGTTTGAGGAAGAAGAGCTCAATCGACATGTTGTGCCCGCCTGGCATGCTTACGCCATTGCCAGGGGGGCGCCCCCGTGACCGCCCTCGCAACAAAAGGTGGGCACGATGACAGGCTTCATGAGGATAAAAAAAAAAAAACGGCAGCAAGGTGACACCAATTACAGTTCATATTTGTCTCGGAGGCCCGAGTGCGTGCCGATCTTCTTGTACACGACCAGGGGAAGTTCGGAGGAAGGGAGTCAATGATGGAGAAGACAAGGGCGGTGGCAGAAACCGCCAAATCTCCTGCATTTCTTGCCCAGAGTCCGCGTTCCTGGATGGTCTGGGGCGTTCTATGGGCTCTTGTGGCTATGGGGGCATGGGAAGTTGCACTGTTCATCGGCGTCACCGCAACTTACTGGCACTATGTGTGCGTCGCCCCCCCAGGGGCGACGCGCGCACCGAGAAATCGTATAGTGTATCCTCCGTGGCGGGTGTTTTCTGGACATACAGCTCGGGAAACGATATGGATGTGTATATATGAATATAGGTGTATGTGTATACACAAACACACACATATATATACATATATATGTATTACTATGTACTACAATATTGTTGTACTGCATGTTCGCGTCGGGCGCACGCCTCCAATGAGAGCATATAGTACTAGTACGTCTAGGTGCGTCCCATGCTCACTTTTACAGTGTTATTTTGGTTTCTTTTGCAGGGGAGGCCCAGTCGTGGAGTAGATCTGAAAACGTTCTGGCTCGCAAGGGGTGCGGAAGAGAGCAGGGCGGGCAGCGGTGACAGTGTCTGTTTCGGGCTGAGCCGTCGCTCGGCTGGGCAATCACCGCGAAGCAACACACCTGGCGTTTGGAACCGTCTGGGGGTCTGAGGTGGCCTAGCACTGGTTTTGGCCAGCAGGAAGGGCGGGCAGGATCGAAGTTCTGGGTTCGGGAAGGTTTTGTCAACTGTTTCGGCCTCCGGGGGCCGTTTTCGGGCCCTGGGACTGTGAGAAACGGACCTGGGGTGAAAAAATACATCAGATGGTCACCGTGAGGGAATTGGGAACCGACTCTGAGCGGATTTGGATTCATCCCCCCTCCTGACCGATTTCCTGGAGGCCCAGCCAGTTTAGACCTCCTGGCCGCCTCCAACCTGGCGTCGTGCTTCCGACTGGAGTCAACGGCGGTGGCACTGAACAGGACGAAGAAGAGTTTGATCCCCAGGGGCCGCCCAAAGCCAACAAAGCCGCGCATTGTCAGTCGAGTCGGCGGAGGGAGGGGAGTGGAAGGTGGCCACTTTGCTTTCCAGGCGCACGGGCAGCCCCGATGCCTCGCTCTTTCGGAGCGTCTCCGTCGACCGAGGCGATCTGTTCTCGCCCGTGCTCGTGCTCGTGCACGCGCATGTGCACGTGCACGGAGGCACTGCGGCGAAGGGCCTGGGGGGACGCCAACAAAAACACGCGGTGGCTCCCAGCGTAGACGGCCGGCCCTGGAGACAGTGGAGAGGGCACAAGATCTACGGCCAACCGTGCGCCTGGTGCGAGCTTCTAAACTTCCAATGGGGAGGGACGCGTGCTGGCGGTTGCGAACACAGACCGCCGGGCTGGAACTTCTATGTGTGCGGCGCCCCCTCCTCGGGCGTTTGCCAGAGGTGGCCTTTGCCCACGGTGACCAGGGAGGCCCGTGCTAGCCTCGAGCACCCGTCACGAGGGCCCAACGGGCTTCAGAAGCTGAGGGCACTGGGCCAGGATCGCCTCTGACAAACCTCCGGCTCTCAGAGCCGTCTTCGGTTGCCGGGGAGGTGTCTGGGCCAGGTCCTGGTGTATGTGTGTGTGTGTGTGTGTGCTCTGTCTTACCTGCCGCCCCTCCTCATCCACTGCCCCCGCGGCACATCATCTGTTGATGTTGTTAGTGTTCTCACACTGCGAGAGGAGAAAGCATCTGTTGCCTCCTCCCTGCGAATCACTGGCGGTTTTCTGCATTCGGCATTGCGCAGGTTCGTCGCGCTTCATTCCCCCCAGCTTTCCGTCCTTCTCCTCCCAAAATGCGGCGGCGAGCCCGGGGGGGAAGTGAGAACGGGCGGGCCTTCTTATAAGGCTCGGAGGCCCCCCCCCCAGGCCTTCTGAGAAGTTTTCTGAGCCTCCCCCGAAAACGCAGAAAACTTCTCAGAAGGCGCGAGGGCTTCTGAGAAGTCCAGCCGCCTTCTGAGAAGGCCTTCTCCTTCTCACGTCCCCCCCTCGCTCGCCACCGAAAAACTGCTGGGTACAAAACAAACAACGGTTGGAACAGCATAGACCTGGGGCCATCCTGGGGCCGTCTTGGGGCGTTTTGTAGGGCTTTGCGCGGAGGCCCCCGCGGGCGCTCTTGGGGCCCTCGGGGGCGCCCTTCCCCCCGCCCCCCCGCGGGGACCCCCGCGGGAGGCTCCGTGGACACGGCCGTGGGCGGTGGCGGACAGCTGCCGCGAAGTGCTTGGAGCTGAACCTGCGGGAAGAGCTCCGTTGGAAGGCAACCGTGTGAACGTCTTCAACCTCGCCGCAGCACCATTCCTGGCACTTCAACGCCGCGAATCAACGCAGCGGTTGCGAGCTGGTGATGCCAAATCATTTCTGGGGCGTCAACACCGCGAACCGGCCCCAGAGAGCGCTGCTGCTCCCCGCCTTCCTCTCCTCTCCTCGCATCCTGCCCTCCCTGCCTCCAGGCCTCCCAGAGGGGGCCCGAGTAGATGGGGTCTCGGAGGTTCATAGACCTCCTACCCTGACACGTCGATTGGCGAATTGGTTGTTTCGGTTCGTGAGAGGGCGTCGCGGTCGTCATTTTCGCGGGTCCAGGTCCATCGGTTTCGGTCCTAGGCCGTCTTCGCTAAAGGGTGGTTTGCTCAAAGGGAGGTTTGTCCACCGCTGTGGGTCGGCGGATCGGCGGCTCGGCTCGATGTGGGGCCTGATCGTCGTCTCCGCGCCGAGCGGCGTCGCCGATGCACCGCCGACGTGGCTGATGCATCATCGCTCAGGCCCCGTTCGGGAGGCTCCCTCTCCGTTTCCCCCGCCTCCCTCGTCGCTGTCTCTGTCTCTGTCCCTGTTGGGGAAACCAAGAGGTACCGATACCGCCACTCCCCGGGCCTCTCTCGGGGTGCGTTCTGACCAGGACTTCGGGGCGAATCGAGCGGTGGCGACGAGGGCCTCCCAGGAGGCCCCCCAAAGGGGTAAACGAGGGAAGGGTAGAGGTGGAGGTACCTCTTCCTCCTCTGCTCCGTCTCTCTCTCTCTCTCTCTCTCTCCGTCTCTCTCTCTCTCTCTCTCTCTCTCTCCCTCTCCCTCTCTTGCTCGACGGGGCCTCGATGCTGGGTGCCGCCAGGCGGTGCAGCTGCCGCCACTCTCCTTCGGCTCTCTTGGTGGCCGGCGGAGTGCGGGCACGCGCAGGCCCGATCCAGGCTCAAGTCGGGCACGTCCCTCTACAGGAGTTCTCGGCACTGTGATAATTATAGGAAGGAGGAGTATTTCAAAACAGTGAAAATCATATGATGACGGCCTCCCGATTATTTGTTGAACCATGTTTGAATCTATGTGTTGACCATTCTTTCATACTCGCCCAAGCATCCGCCCATAGGAGGATCTGCTCGACCTAAAACTAGGCCTTGCCCTGCCTGGGTCGCCACTCCCTGTTCCTGCGCGTGCACGGGAGGGGTTCCCGTGCACCGTTTCCTTCTGCTGCGTTCGGGCCGACACTGGCGAAGCCAGCGAACCTTCAGGCGATTTCGCTGCGGGAGAAAATTGTCGCCATTTCCGTGATACACTGGGGAGCATGGCGGAGTGCGGACACGCGTGTATCCAAAGGGCCTCGCCCAGTCTGGGAGGTGCCAAAAGGACTCGTTCCCACGCTCCGGCGCCCCTGGGGGGCACAGCGGAGTGCGGACACACGCGGGCCGAAGTACCCCCCCATGGAAAAGTATTAAATGTTTGCAGGTCGTGTCGGGGACTTGTCTTGCTTGTAACTCCACTTCGCCGGCTCCTCGTCCTCATCTCCTCCTTCTCCTGCACGCAATCACTCTTCAAAGTTTCTTTGCATTTTCACGAAGAGTTGCCAGTCGCGCACTCTTCTTCCCACGCGTCCTTCGGGATGCTCGGCTCAGCGGTGGTGGCGGTGGTGGTGGATGTTGGTGGTGCAGGTCGTGTCGAAGAATTGTCTGGGGGACTTCCCTGTGGGTAGTTTTCGTCCCTGGGTCTGTTTGTGACGGTCCTGGAGGCCTAAAACGGCCCCAAGAGGCCAAACATTTCCAAAAGCCGAAGGCGAAGAATACACAAACGACTCGACGATCGAAGTTGCATTGTTCGTCCGGGGCAGTTCCGATCTTGCTTGCCCTGGGTGCTGCCAGACGCGAAGTCTCGGCGGCGAAGTCCGAACCCTACCCTCGCCGATCAACGATTGAGGCAACTCGATGGGTGGCGGGGTGGGGCTTGGAATTCATCGAGCACGCGGCGAACTCCGAGCCCTACCCCCGACTCACGTCGACTCAGGAGAGTCGATGGTTGGTGGGGGGCGGGTTCGGACGTCGCCACCGAGGGGTGGGGACGTGGAGCGGATGGGGATGGAGGGGGTGGGATCGAGGGAGGAGAGGGGGTGAGGGACGAGTGGGGTGAGGGGCGCAAGGGAAGAGAGGAGGGGGAGGAGGGGGGGCTACGTGCGAGGAGGAGGAGGGGGAGGGGGAGCAGGAGGGGAAGGACGATGGATACGGATGGCGCCACCTGCAGCCGTCACGCTCTTGCGCCACCGGGGCGTCCAGCGGAGGGCGGGCCTGCACTCTTGCTTCCTCTGCGGTGCAGCCGCGGGGCCTGCGCCTATTGGGAGAGCCGCACATGCGAGGCGTGGGTCGGAGCAACGAACGCAATGGAAGGGGACCACCGGGCGCGTTCCACTGCTCGCAAATTCCGTACTCGCAAGCGTCCGAAAATGACATGTTCGCCTCGATGTGGTTCGCAGCCACCCGGCGCCGTTGCGAAAGGTAGCGCGCCCCGTCTTCTTCACGTCAACAAGTTCGTGTGCGGACTCACGGGTTTCAGACGTGTGGTGGCTGTCATTAGTTGTTGAGCCTTCATTGCCGCTGTTGCGTGGGAAAACATGTTTGCCTCGATATAATTGGTCGTAACCCTCCCGCGGCGGATCCTGGCCATTTGTGCAAGTTGTTACTTTGCGAGTCGTGGGACGCGCTGGTTTAGGGGAGTGTGGGCGTATGCGCAGGTTTAGCTAGATGTTGACTTTTGGGGAATTGCCAGGCGCGCAGTCGTCGCCACTTTCCGGCGCCCCGGGTGGGTCCCGCTGGTCGCCACCTCGAAGACGTCCACATGAGCCTGCCCCTATGGGTGCTGCCATACGCAGACGTGGACCCGAGTGCCGAGGATTGGGGATGCGGTGGGCAAACGCGTGTCAGCACGCTCCTGTGCTCTCCAGACCTAATGATTGAGGCCTCACCGTCCCCGGTGTTGCGGAGCGCCTCCACTTTCCTGCGTCCTGTTGGGTTCCAGCGGCTTGGCGTCCTGCGCAAGCCCGCCCCACGGTTTGGTCAAACGTCCTGGATGAGTTGGCACGTCTTGGGGTAGGGGCTTCTATTTCTGATTAGTGTGTCTTGTTGGGTCTTCGGTTCCCTTTGCTCTGCGCCGCATTGTCCCTCTTTTCTTCTCTCCTCTCCTCTCCTCTCCTCTCCTCGCCCGTCCTTTCATCTCATCTCCTCTCCCCCCTCGCCTTCCCAACACACTGCTCTTGCTTTCGAATTGCGTGGGCCAGTTTCATTTCCCCTTGCAGATGTCATCGGAAGTAGTTCGTTTCTTGTTGACCTTATGTTTTGGTTTGGTTTCGGCGTGGTTTAAAGCAGTGCGCCAATGGCACTGGTCGGGTGGTCCCACCAGGGGCGGGAGGGTTGGGGAGGCTTGGTGAATTCCAACTAAAGCGTAAGCAAACCTACAGCAATCAACTCCAGTTCAGTTTTGCCCTGGTTCGTCCAGTCCGTCAAAGTCAGGTCTTGCTTCGGCCTACTCGAAGACGCCTTTTATTCATACTGGGCCTAATGCAAACTTCGAGTTTGTTTCCAATGCAGTTTCATTCAATGGAGCCCACTCCTTCCGAATGATAATTGCATCGGGAAGCTTGGTACACTCCGCCTGAGATGCTGCATGGCCTCGCCACCGCTGGCACATTCGCAGGCCATTTGTCACTAATGCTGCCATGCTGCCACTGTCGTCGCCCTGGCACAGCTCCCCCAGCTCCTTCGAGCTGCCCGCCCGAGCTGTCAGTTAAGCTGGCCCCACAGCCGCACGGAACCACTTGGGCGATGACGTAGTACAATTTGCTTCGTAGAATCGAGTGGACCATTCTCGTCTTGAAGTCCTTGGACTGTTCCGATCCCTGGTGTGTGACTCGGAATGACGTTTCATATGTTTCTGGTGTTTTCTTGGGGATGTATGTTAGACTTCAGGCTGTCCGAAGCAGCTAGCGGGGGAGGTGTGTTTCATCTGGAGCGTATTCGAGCATGGTGGAATATTGAAACATGACTTGTGTCAGCCCTATCCGAATCTCGTGTAAGCTCCACATAAGATAGCCAGAGCGCAGCACTTCGAACAGTGGGTCTTTTGGAATTGAGATTGCCCAGGTGCGATGGCGACAATTGCACGGCTAACGACGACAAGGTGTGCATGCCTGCAGATTGGGTGAAGGACGCTTCACGCTGCGCTATCGCAATGCAGGTGTCCAAACAGACGTAGCGGGCTTGCCCTTATTGTTTTGTTGAACACATCGATGTCCGATACCTGCTTTTATTTTTGAATGTACTTTTTCAAGGCCCAATGGTCTCCTTCCGCTTGGCTCTTCCAGTGGTGCAAGTTAGACGCTCGCCCCCTAATCCCCCCGCCCCCAAAGTCCTCTTAGCATACATTCCGAATGCGCACTACGCGTCAATGCTATTCACACACGCGCGCACTATCGAAGACACCTGCGGCGAACCGCCGCCGACCTCTACCTTGTAGAAGCGCTTATGTGGACAACTCGTGGTCACAGTCTGGCCGCTAATGCAGGCATGCATGTATGTATGCATGCCCGTATGGATGCATGTATTCAAGTATGTTTTCATGTATGTTCCCCAACCAGAGCTTGCCTCTGTAGGGGTCCTATCATATGTTTGGGTGAGGTGGGTCGCCGATTTCGGTGGCCGGGTGCCCGGGTGCCCGGGTGCCCCGGTGCCGGGGGGTGCCCGGTGCCTTGGTGCCGGGGTGCCCGGGGCTGCCTGGAGGTGCCCAGTGGTGCCAGGCGGTGCCCGGTGGTGCCTGGCGGTGCCCAGGGTTGCCTGGGGGTGCCCGGGTGCTCTATCGCCCTGTAGCCCTATAGCGCTATAGCCCTATAGCCATATAGCCCTATAGCCCAGTAGCCCTATAGCCCTGTAGCCCTAGTCCAATCGCCCTATAGCCCTATAGCCCTATAGTCTCATCGCCCTAGTCCCTATAGCCTTATAGCCCTATAGCCCAATAGCCCTTTAGCCCAATAGTCCTATAGTCCATATAGCCCTATAGCCCATATAGCCCGTATCGCCCTACAGCCCTACAGCCCTATAGCCCTATAGCCCTATAGCCTTATAGCCCTAACAAACATTCGGATTTGGGTGTTTCTCCAGTTTTTGTCCGGTATCATGTTTAAGTCGTGGTGTACGTGTGTATAGGTTAATGCCGATGTATATTTGTGTAAAGTTATATTTACACATGTGTAAATGCATAAGCATGTGTATTCATACAAGTGCAGGACAATGCCCCCCAGCCGTGTGGAAACCCTTGTGGAAACAGGGAGGAAGAGACAGAGACGAGGAGAAGGACGACGATGGTGATGGTGATGGTGATGGTGATGGTGAGGGTGATGGTTATGGTGCTGCTGCTGCTGTTGCTGAGGCTGCCGCTGCTGCTTCTGCTGCTGCTGCTGATGATGATGACGATGACGACGAGCAGGAAGGGGAGGAGGAGGAGGAGGTGAAAAAGTAGGAGCAAGGGAAGAAGGATGAGGAGGAGGAGGCCGCAGGTCGCGGTCGCGCCCCTCCCCCCTCCCCAGTACTGGCACCGAGCGCGCTTGACGGTCCTTTGGCAGAGCCCGTGCAGTCTACGCTACGCTGCTCTGTCTCAATGCGTGCGTGCCCGTTCCCGCAGGTTCGCCCTCTTTGCTTGCTGGCCGTCGCCTGGGCGTCCGCGAAGCGTGGCTGCCGCCACCGCCGCTTTCGAGTCGAGATGCAGTTCGAGCTGGGAAGGTAAAGGGTGCGGCACTTGTGAGGAGCCAGGCCCTGGCAACCTCTGCGTCTCGACAAGATGGCCATGCTAACCTTGGACTGCGCTATTGGCTGTCAGCTAGCTTCGAGGTATTGGATTCCAGGTGCCAGGATATTGTCTCCAGGATCTCAATGATAGGATACCTCAGCATGCAGCAGCAAGTTCAACTGTTGTTCGGCTGGGCCTGGTGGCAAGCATCAAATGTGGGTGTCCAGGCGAGGTACTTTATGTAGCTCGGGCCCACCGTCCGTCACTCTTTCCTTCCGACTCCTGCCGCTGTCTTCTTTCATGCATTTGTTTCCCACTTGCCGCGTGCCAGCATCCAGGGGAATTAGGAGGAGGATCAACACATGGAGGGGGGGAGGCGCGGCAGGAAGAGGGGGAGCTATTGCTTCCAGAGCCGAGGACCAGCCCTGGGTGACCGTGGCCAACTGCAGCAGGCCGTCCGACCGCACGGTCATCGAACGCGTGCCGCAGGCACCTCCTGCGTGCACGGCAGGACGTTGTGGCGGGTTGGAGAGATCAGCCGCGGGCAGAAGAGGGCACTAGCGTTAAATCGGACGTGTCCCTCTACAGGAGGAAGGTTCAAACATAGTAAAAATAGTCAGGGGACGTGTTTGGTGTAAATAATATTTTCAGCATGAAATGTGTCGTCAAACATTCGCCTGTAGGAGGGCACGCCCGACCTACCACTAGCGCAGCGGTAGAGAGCTCTGCTAGTGTTGCGTCGAAAGGGCTGTGGGCCGAGGCGGGCCAGATGTGCGAATCGGAACCAGAGCCTCACGGGCTGGCCACCAGCACACATATTATACTTATGCGGCGCTCAGAGTTCCCGGGGTGGAGTTCCATGTGGGGCTATGGGTGCGCGTTGTCGGATGGGAGTCCCGGCCCGAACGGGAGATCTTTTCGGGGTCCGAACAACCCGCACCCACACCCGTTGCGACTGAATCGCCTGGCTCTTCCCCGTTCCTCCTCCCTACAGGTTCGAGCGTGTGTTGGCTGTTCTTTCGCCAGCCAGTGTCCATGTCGGCCGTTTCCGTTTCGCGAGGATGATCCACAGTTTGACGCTGACCACGATCGACGGTCACTAAGATCGATACGGCGTTGCCGCGTGCAGTCTTGGTCATGGCCCCCTGTTCCTTCCCCTCCAGAATCGTAGCTGGAGTCAGAGCCAAAGAGATCCGAAACGTCGCTGCCTCACGGGGCGCTGCTTACGGTGTGTGTGTGTGTGTGTATGTGTGTATGTGTGTGTATGTGTGTGTGGTGCGCGCTCCTGGCTCACCGAGCGCAGGTCGCGCGCAGGCCCTGCTTGCCGCGAGGTCGACAGCGCCCCGCGCGCGCGTGCTTGCGCGCGCCACGTGCGCCTGCGCGGGGACTACTGCGCGGCGGCAGCCCGACGCCCTCGATGCAGCTGGTCTCGGTCGTCCCTCTGCCCCCCCCCGCCTCTCCCGCCCTCCCACCCGGTCCCCTCGGATGGGCGGCGAGCGAGGGGGGGCGGAAGTGAGAGGGGGCGGGCCTTCTCATAAGGCTCGGAAGTCCCTCTGCGTTCTGAGAAGTTTTCGAAGCCTTTCCCGAAGACGCAGTCCACCTCTCAGAAGGCTGGTGGCTTTTGAGACGTCCCGCCGCCTGCCGAGAAGGTCTTCTCCTTCTCATGTCCCTCCCTCGCTCGCCGCCGATCGGAGGGAGCGGATGTGCGATCAGAGATGCCTGCTGGTTCTTGCCTGGAGGAGCACCTGATTCACTGACGGCGATCTTCCTGTGAAGCGGAAGGGGGTGAGCTTAAGTCGGGCCTGTCCCTGTACAGGAGGAATGTCCAAAAATAGTTTGAAAAAATAGCCTGAGGACGGTTTTGAGTATTTTTGGATCATGTTTGTTTATGTTTGGTGTATTTTTTATTTTTCGTCCAAAATCCCCCTGTAGGGGGACATGCCCGATCTAAGGGTAAGCGGGAGCTTCAGCAGAGGTTCTTTGCCATCGGCGGGGGGGAGACTGCGCGCGAGGACAGGCTGGGTGTGCTGGTGCAGTGGCTGCAGGGTTTTCTTCCAGGGGCCAGCCCGTGAACATGAACTCCGTGTATACTATCAGCGTGAGGATGCCGAAGGGTCTCGGAATATGTCTGGGTGCGTGGTTGGGCAGTGTGTGGAGCATGTGTTATGGTATCATCCCCCTGCCATGCTGGAGTTTTAATCCAGGAGAGTTTGGCCATCGCGGTTATCCAAACACGGGGTTCTTACACTCGATGTGCGCGCTCTCTGGTGTCACCAGTGGGGTCCAAGAGATGTGGTGCAATAGATGTGATACTGCCGATGTGTTGGTGAGGTAGAGGTAGCTGGTTCAAGTCATGTTGAAATGTTGAAGTTGTTGACTCCAAAGTTCGAGCAAGCATCCCAACCACCCACTCGCAGCTTGTTGGCAAACTCAGTTGGCGCAATGACGCGAGGCCCCTTTCGTGCAGATCCATGGCTCGGGCGCCCGGGGTGATGATGGTGACGACGAAATCGGCGACGATGACGATGGTGTTGCGGCTGCTGATGATGATGCTGCTGAGTTTGATGATGATGGTGATGATACTAGTGACGATGATGGTGATTATGGTGATTTTGGTGATGCTGATGCTGCTGATGATGGTGATCACGACGATGATGATGTTGATGATGTCGATGATGAAGATGATGTTGATGATGAAGATGATGATGATGATGATGATGATGATGATGATGATGATGATGATGATGATGCTGCTGCTGTTGATGATGATGATGAGGATGAGGATGAGGATGATGATGATGATGATGACGATGATGATGATGATGATGATGATGATGATGATGATGATGATGCTGATGATGATGATGATGATGATGATGAATGTGCCACTGACGAGGGCGACGACATCGTCGATGACGATGACGATGACGATGACGATGATAATATTGTCGACGGTGCAGCTGATGACGACGAGTATGGTGGTTGTGATGAGGTCATGGTGATTCCACATCCCAATGGTGATGATGACGCTGGCGGTGATGATAGCCTTTGTGCTGGGGGGGATTATGAGGATCATGATGAAGTGCGCGTGCGCAGACACCCTGACTTAATTCTTACTGGACAGCAATGGTCGTTAATATGTGTTGCTCAACCGTCTTGCGTGGGAGTTTCGTTTCGATTCGCTATGATCATCGGCCTTCTTCCTCACTCTCCGATTCACTCTCCACCTCACTTCTACTTCCTACTTGCCTCCCCACAGGTTTCCCGTTGGCGCTGTTCTCCTGTCTCCCATCTTCTTATCCCTGGATGCTGCGAACTGCGAGACTGTCGCCACTTTCGAAGGCTTCTTTGAGGTCCAGCGGAGTTGTGCCCCACGCAGACCCAGGCGGGTGCGTCTCCGCAGTGGCCACCGATGCAGGGGGAACTCTGCGAGGATTTCTTACTCTGGGGCGAGGAGGCTCCTCCCAGTCCTTCTCCTCCTCACTCCTTGCTCTGATCCCGGCTCCCATCTCTCCGACTCCAGCTTCTACCCTTCCGACTCTTGTGGCGAGTGCCGTGCCATATTTTGTGGTTTCGAGGCGAATCCAGCAGTGGCGACAAGGGCTTCCCAGGAGGCCGAACAAAAGAGAAGATGGGCGAAGGGTAGCAGTATCGGTACTTTTTCTCCTCTGATTTTTGGGCGGTTCGGTCGCACCCCGCAGAACCCCACACAACCCATGCTGCATCGGATGCAGGCCATGCCCGTGCTCGTGGCCTTCGGAGGATGCCTCGCGTCGCATGGGGCGTGGGCGCGGCTCCCCGATCAGAGAAGCCCGTCTGCATAGGCCCCGAGAGAAGGCTGGGGGCCCAGACTTTCAGAGGTTTTCTTTCGGGGGCCCGCGTGCTGATGTATTCCTTCTTGCGCTCTTTCGCCTTGCGCTCTCTCGCCCCCTGTGCCCAATTCGTTTCCATTACAGCCAAGTGCAAGCTTGACCTCGACGTGTCCTTTCCGAAGCCGCCGATTTTAGAAAGGTGTATTCCAGCGTCGTCGGGCTGAAGTGGGAAGTGTCGGGCTCGTGGACCCATTCTACATCCGTTTTGCGAGATGCGTCGACCGAATCGTCCATTACTGGGTACGGCAATCACTTGTCCCATGAGGTCAGAAGCCGCTAGGATGCCTCTAGGGATCTCTTGTGATGCCTTTCGCGGGCGGGTTGGATGAGCATGCTGGATGGGCAGCGGAAAGCGAAATGACGCGAGTCATGACATTGTTGGAATGGATCATCCAGTTGCGCTCGGCACATTCGGCCAAGGTGCCGAGGGCGTTGGTCAGAATCCGCTCCGATGCCCCTCGGGACCTCTTGGGGGCCTCTTTGGCGCCTCATGGGGGTGTAGGGTTTCTCCGAAGGGCTTAGGCGACCCGTCCTCCTCCTCCTCCTCCTCCTCCTCCTCCTCTTCCTCCTCCTCCTCCTCCTCCTCCTCCTCTTCCCTCCTCCCTCCTCCTTCTCCTCCTCCTCCTCCTCCTCCTCCTCTCCTCCTCTCCTCCTCCTCCTCCTCCTCCTCCTCCTCCTCCTCCTCCATCCTCCTCTCCTCCTCCTCCTCCTTCCTCCTCTCCTCCTCCTCCTCCTCCTCCCCTCCTCCTCCTCCTCCTCCTCCTCCTCCTCCTCCTCCTCCTCGGGTCGCCTACGGCCCCTGGGGAAACCGTGCACACGGGGGGGCTTCTTGGGGCCCTCTTGCATATATGCTGGTGGTCTTGGGGGCCATCTCCGAGGAGGCAAGGCGTCGAGGGCAATCTCGCTTGCCGCCTCGGGCCCTTCTTGGGCTGGCTCTAAGAAGTCGGGCACGTCCCTCTACAGGAGGGTTATTCCAAAATAGTCCAAACATAATATGGGGACGACTTTTAAATATTTGTTTGATATTTTTTGAATATGTTTGACTATTTTTATTTGTTGTCCAAGATCCCCATGTTGGAGGACATGCCCGACCTAAGGCTGGCTCTTCTGAAGAGCACTTGGGCCGCGTTGGGGCGATCTGTGGGGCTTCTTGGGCCCCGTCTTGAGCGGCTGGAAGCCCACAGGGTAGGAACGCTGACATGTATCGAAGATGATGCTGGCAAGTCGGCGCTGTGTTTGCCTTGCCGTCTTGAGGCCATCCCTTGTCGGGGCATTTTTTCTCCAGTGGCCCCCTGGGGCCGCCCCACGCTCGCGAACTCCTAACGCAGTAGCGGGGATTCTAGCACGCCTTTGGCCCGCTGGGTTGGCGAATGTTCGATGCAGTCGGACCGAGGTGTATGATCGAGGTCGGTTCGGGGAGGGTACCCTCGTGCTCTTCATGTTTGATGGATGTCCTTGTGCATCCTAAGAGTGTGTGTGTGTGCTTTGGCCGGCGGAGGGCCTCTCATGTTCTTGAGGGATGTTCTTCTGGCCTGGGCCCGACTGTACAACAAACAATACGACACACGTCCAGCCTCGGCATGGTTGCGGAGTCTCACCTCTGAGGGCAGACACCTGCGGGGAGCCGCACCCCGCCAGCTTTTCGCCACTGCCCGTCTACTGCGCGCCGACAGTCGGATACCGAGCCTCAGAGCTCTCGCCAGACAGCGGGCTCCTCCCCGTTTGGGGAGTGCGAAGCTTTCCGTTGCACGCCCTGGTGCAGGTGAAGCTTAGAGGCGGGGCCTTTCTGGAGCTCGTGCCCTCGGAGCTCGAGCCGCGAGCCTCAAGCAGTGGCGAAGCGTCCCGGCGTGCTTATAGGCCTACCAAGCAATGTTCTAAGAGTCTTTTGTGGTCTCCACGAAATGTTCTCAGAACATTTCTGGCTGGGACTGTCTTGTTTTAACACATCGGGCTTATGTTCTAAGAACATTGTTTTCCTTCTCAGAACATTCCTGTGTTCTAAGAGAACATTTTGTGGCAGGCCTGTAGAGATGCCGGGACGGTCGGCCCCTGCTCAAGAGCCTCGATCCTGCATCCCCGGCGTCTCTCGCTGCGCGGGCAGCGTGACCCGCGAGCCAGCGTACGTGCGAGGCGGGCACGAGGCGAGCACGCGGGCGAGGGGGGCGCGGGCGGGGGCGCTCCGAGGCCTGTGCGGGCCCCGGGAGGTCCCCCCGCCCGAGGCTTCTGGAGGCCTCCGGGGGCTCCCTGGGTCCAGCAGGGGCCAAAGGCGGCCGGAGGAGGAAGAGGAAGAGGAGGAGGAGGAGGAGGAGGAGGAGGAGGAGGAGGAGGAGGAGGAGGAGGAGGAGGAGGAGGGGGAGGAGGAGGAGGGGCTGGCTGAATGGATGGAGTCCTCCCAGCGAGGCGGCATTGTGGGGGCGCGGGCACGGCCCCTTTAGCAGAGGGCAGCAGGGCCGAAGGACGGCGACTGCCGCGACCAAGCAGCGTCCGCTCAGGGGAAGGGGAAACACCGCCTGCGGGGATAGGGAAGGGATAGTGGAGGACAAGGGACGGACCAAGGAACGCCCGATTCATCCTGGCCCCGCGCTTCTCGTAGGCCCACGGAGGAGGAGCCACTCCTTGGTCCTGGAAGCGAGCGCGATGGACAGGAGGGGAAGGCCTGGGGAGGGGGGCCTAACGGCGACGCCCTCCCACTGGGACTCCCGCCCGTGCTCCCAGCCGCCTCGTGTCAGCGCAGGACGCAGCTGCGAGACTAAGAGAATGGAGGGAGAGAGGGTCACCCCAGGATTCCCAGAGATTCGTACTACTCAGCTCCTTGTGGCCCGGCCCAGAATGACGCCTCCTCCTTCATTGAGAAGCTTGCCAGCGCGGCAGCCTCTGCGTAGCCCGCCTCCCCTGGTCGCAAGCTCAATGTCGCCCTTATGTTGGCCTCCCGCTCAGGCGGGGCGTGCTCTGGGCGAGCGCACCAGTAACAATGCGTGAGTATTTGTTCAAGTTTAATATGTTCGTCCAGCATCCCCCTGTATGGGGGACATGCCCGACCTAAGATTTCGCTTCTTCGCGGCCCCCGAAGTCCGCGCGCCAGAGGTCACTCGTGCCCGGAGTGTTTTCTGCTCAAGGTGAGGTGTGCAATTCCTGGCCGGTTCGAACCCAAATTTGCCTTCGAAGTCTCTCACGTTCACCGTGTGTTTTACGGCAGTCTCTTGCGTGCCAGAGGGCCTTAGCATATAACACGAACTCCTGCTTGGGCTTTCGCGTGGTATACGCTGCGACACGCGATGGGCCGTAGCGCAACATGGAGGGCCGTAGATGGGGTGGTGTCTTTGTTTTTTGGTCCAAAAGATGTGTTGTCGTGGAAGAAATCGGGGGGTGGAAGTGAGAAGGGGCGGGCTCCTTCAGAAGGCTCGGAAGTCCCCTTGCCTTCTGATCAGCTTTCTGAAGAAGGCTGGAGGCCTTCTGAGAAGCCCCGCCGCCTTCTGAAAAGGCCTTCTCCTTCTCACTCCCCCTCGCTCGCCGCCGAAAACACACTCCTGCCCAGGGTCACTCTTGCGTCCAGGCGACTGCCCGCTGCACGCACTCCTGCCAATGGTCACTCTGCCGCCTCCGCGCCCGGCTCTCCTCGCCCGGCGTGCTGCAAAAGGTGCAGGCGGCGGCGGCGGCGGCCGGGAGCGTTGGGCTCCAGGAAAGGGCGGGGCGGCGGGCCGCCTTCGCGGGAGGGGTGGTGCTTAGCGGACGGGGAGGGAAGCGTTCGGCGGCGAATTCCGAAGTTTGCCCTCGCCGATCAACGATTCGGGGTTCGGGGTTCGAGATTCGAGGTCCTCGGCGTTTTCGTTGGCTCTCGGCGGCGGCTTTCCAGCCTCGGCGTGCCCTCCAGTGGCTGCGCCTCGCCGAGAGCGCTCCGGGGTGCCCGGGTCGTGCCGAACGGCCGCCAGAGGCCCGAGTAAGGGCCCGAGAACCACTGGGAGCCAGCCCCCTTCGCCGATCAACGTTGTCGAGAGCTCGACGGGCGGCGGGGGCGGGGTTCGGGCTTCGGCGAGCACGTGGCGAAGTGGCAGCCTTGCCCGCGCTCCCAGCGATACAGGAGAGTCAGTGGCTGGTGAGGGTACGGTTCGGACGTCGCCACTTAGGGGTGGGGCCGTGGAGCGGGCGGGGAGGGAGTAGCGGATGGGGAGTGAGGGGTGGATGGGGGTCGAGGGAGGAGGGGGTGAGGGACGAGGCGGGGGGGAAGGGCGCAGGGGAAGAGAGGAGGGGGAGGAGGGGGGGCTACGTGCAAGGAAAAGGGGGAGGGGGAGCAGGAGAAGGACGACGAGGGATACGGGGAGCACGATTTTGTGACCATCGCGTTGTCTTCTCAGAGGCAGACATCCTGGAATTGTACTTTTGGGCATCTTCGGTTCCATTTTGCAGGGAATCCAGCAAGAGGTTCCAGGTGTACGACATGTATTAGCATGTCCGGCCGAGCTTGCTACATGATTTACGCTTTGGGCGTCGTTCGGTATCGAAGACGCATGCGGCGAATTGTTGCTGGCCATACTTTTTTAGGATACGCCTATGTGGCCAAACGTTTGGGCAAACTTTGGCCACGCTATTGGACCATGCGTTCCTCCAGCCGTTGTACCAGCCTTTCGGGGAACACGTGGAAAATGAAGAGAACGATGAGGAGAGGGAGGAAAAAGGAGGATAAGGAGAAGGAGGAGGAGACCTCGTGGGAGCTTCTTGAATCATTCTTGGGGCCTCCTGGGAGCTTCCCGGGGTCTCTTGGAGGCCTCTTGGGGACCTCCTTGGGCCTCTTGGGGGCTTCTTGGAGGCTTCTTGGGGGCATCATTGGCCGTCTTACGGCGTTCCTGGCCCTTCTGACGCCGTCCGAAGTTGTCTTGAGAGCCTCTCTGGGCGGCCTTGGGGCCCTCTGAGAGCGCTTCAGGGTCGTCTTGAAGGCTATCTTGGGCGTCTTGAAGGCCTTTTTGGGCCGTCTTGGGTCTTGGGGCCCTTTAGGGGTTGTCGTCCTGGGGCCATCTTGGAGGTCACTGGGCGATCTTCGGGCAATCTTGGGGGCCTCTTGGGCCAGCTTAGGCCGTCGAAGGCAGAAACAGGAGCAACCACCAAAAAGCTAGGAGAACCTACGGACACTAACTGTAGGTCCTCTTGGAAGCCGCTTCAGCCGTCTTGGAGGCCTCTTGGGAGCTTCTTGGTCGTCTTTGGCCAACTTGAGGCCATCTTAGGCCGTCGTTCGTGCATTGTGGGTGGTCGTGACAACATGTTTCGGCCGTCATGTGCTCTCTTATATTAATACCCATATATCAGGTCATATACTCTTTGAGCCAGGATGAATGCGAAACGAAACCAAACGCATAATGATCCTGCAGCAACGCCTCTGGATAAGCGCCGCGCTCGCACTTATCATGCTATGCACTCTGAGCTGTAACATCATACTGCTTAGGGGCAAATCTTGACACGCCCCTCAGCGACGGGGCATACCAATCCAGAAGCACAGCCCCTGGATGTGTTTCACAACCTAGCTGACATTTTCAGTCGGAATTATCGGACTTACTCTCGTTCGCATTGCAGTTTCCACCTGCTCGGGAACACTCGGGCGCACAATACACACCGAGACTTCTCAAACGACGAACGGCTCGAGGCATCAGCAACGACTCTTGCAGGGCTCAAGAATTCGCGAGTCTTTTTTCTACATGAATACAGCAGCACGTGTGGTATTTCCTGCCATACATGAGATGAAAACCTGGGCTGGCACATTCTTCCTGGTCTGACCTGGCATGGTCTGAGTGCCCACTGAAACTGTCGTGAGCGCAAGCGTGGTGTAGCCCGTCGTCGCAGTCGCCACACTCCTTCAAGCACCCATGGGAAATCAATGAGTTTGGCTTTTTCGGGCCTTCCTGGAGGCCCTCTTGGGGGCCTCTTGGGCCGTCTTGGGCCATCTTAGGGCCATGTTCGGCCGTCTTGGAGAGCTCCTGGTCAGTCTGACGCCATCGGACGCCGTTTTGGGGGCCTCTTTGGGCCGACTTGGGGCCCTCTTGGAATGCTCCAGGGCCGTCTTGGAGGCCATCTTGGGCGTCTTAAAGGCCTACTGTGCCGTCTTGGGGGCCTCTTGAGGCCGTCTTGGGGCCCTCTTGGGCCGTTCTGGGGCCATCTTGGAGGCCTCTTGGGCGATCTGTCGGCGATCTTTGGGGGCTCTTGGGCCGTGTCGGGCCGTCGGAAGGCTGAAAAGAAGCACATGTCAACATCCGTCAAACACCTTAGGACCATCAATGTTTTTGGCCCTAGTCTGGCCTTCTGGAGGCGCTCTTGGGTGCCTCTAGGGCCGTCTTGGGCCAGCTTCGAGCCAACTTCGGCCATCTTGGTGGGTTCCTAGCACGTCTGACGCCGTCGGAAGCCGTCTTGGGGGCCTTTCTGGGCCGACTTCGGGCCCTCTTGGGGCGCTTCGGGGCCGTCTTGGAGTCCATCTTGGGCGTCTTGGAGTCCATCTTGGGCGTGTTGGAGGCCTCTTGGGCCGTCTTGGGGCCCTCTTGGGGCCGTCTTGGAGGCCACTTGGGCCGTCTTGGGCCGTCTGGGGCCGTCGGAAAGCCGAAAAGGCGCAAATGCCAAAATCCTTCAAAAGCAAAAGAAATCATTGATTTTGGCCTCTTCGGGCCTTGCTGGAGGACCTCTTGGAAGCCTCTTGGGCCGTCTTGGAGGCCTCTTGGGGGCCTCTTGGGCCGTCTTGGGCCATCGTCAGGCTATCTTAGGCCGTCTAGGGTACATCTTGGGCCGTCTTGGAAGCATCTTGGGGCCATCTGAGCCGTCTTGGAGGCCATCTTGGCCGTCTTGGAAGCATCTTGGCCGTCTTGGAGGCCATCTTGGGGCCGTCTGGGGCAGGGAAACCGTTTGCAACCACCTCTTCGGGGTGGCCGGCGGGACGTGACGAAGCCCCAGGGGGAGTTCTTTTGGAAAAAGAATCAAAACCAAACGCCATCTCGTTCGGCACGCCAGGCACTCCTTTGATAAATCAAAAGGGGGCGGCGGATCGAAGACGCCTACGGCGAATCACCGCCGCCCCCTGCCTTTTTGGAAGCGCCTATGTGGCCGAACGTTGAGGCCAGACCTGCCAAGCTATCGGACCATGTGTTCCCCGAATCGGTTTGGAAAGCCTTCGGGGAACACGTGGGCATCTTGAAGGTCATCTTGGCCGTCTGGAGGCCATTTTGACCCTTTCGGGCATTCTTGGAGGACGTCTTGGAGGGCTCTTGGGCCGTCTTGGAGGCCATCTTGAGCGTCTTGGAGACCTCTTGGGCCGTCTTGGGGGCCTCTTGGGGCCGTGTCTTGGGCTTCTTGGGCGATCTTTGGGGGCACTTGGGCCGTCTCGGGCCGTCGGAAGGCAGAAACAAGCAAATGCCACAATCCTTCAAAAACCCATGGGAAATCAATGATTTTGGCCTTTTTCGGGCCTTCTTGGAGGCCCTCTTGGGGGCCTCTTGGGCAGTCTTGGGCCATCTTAGGGCCATGTTCGGCCGTCTTGGTGGGCTCCTGGTCCGTCTGACGCCGTCGGAAGCCGTTTGGGGAGCCTCTCTGGGCCGACTTGGGGCCCTCTTGGAATGCTCCAGGGCCGTCTTGGAGGCCATCTTGGGCGTCTTAAAGGCCTCCTGTGCCGTCTTGGGGGCCTCTTGGGGCCGTCTTGGGGCCCTCTTGGGCCGTTCTGGGGCCTTCTTGGAGGCCTCTTGGGCGATCTTTCGGCGATCTTTGGGGGCTCTTGGGCCGTGTCGGGCCGTCGGAAGGTTGAAAAGAAGCACATGTCAACATCCGTCAAACACCTTAGGACCATCAATGTTTTTGGCTCTAGTCTGGCCTTCCTGGAGGCCCTCTTGGGGGCCTCTTGGGCCGTCTTGTGCCAGCTTCGAGCCAACTTCGGCCTTCTTGGTGGGTTCCTGGCACGTCTGACGCAGCAGTCGGGAGCCGTCTTGGGGGCCTTTCCTGGCCGACTTGGGGCCCCTCTTGGGGCGCTTCGGGGCCGTCTTGGAGGCCATCTTGGGCTTCTTGGAGGCCATCTTGGGCGTGTTGGAGGCCTCTTGGGCCGTCTTGGGGCCCTCTTGGGGCCGTCTTGGAGGCCACTTGGGCAGTCATGGGGCTCTCTTGGGGGCCTCTCGGGCGATCTTGGGGGCCTCTTGGGCCGTCTTGAGCCGTCGGAATGCCGAGAAGAAACACATTCCAACATCCTTCAACAACCTACGGACAATCAATGATTTTGGCCTCTTCGGGCCCTCCTGGAGGACCTCTTGGAGGCCTCTTGGGCTGTCTTGGAGGCCTCTGGGGGGCCTCTTGGGCCGTCTTGTGCCGTCTTGGACTCTCTTGGGCCGTCTTGGAGGCCGTGTTGGACCATCTTGGGCGGACTTGGAGGCCACCTTGGGCCATCTCCGCGATTTTTTAAGGATGTCCCGAGCGAAACGGCCGTTTTTGACATTGACAGATGGGTTTTCCGGGTGGCCGGCGGGACGGGCCGAAGCCCCAGGGGGAGTTCTTTTGGAAAAAGAACCAAAAGCAAAACCGAGAGGGTCCAGCACGCCAGGCACCCCTGCGATGAATCGACAGGGGGCGGCGGATCTAGTGGTCTTCGGTCCATCCCGCCACCATGCCTGGGTTGTAAGTCAGAGAGGCCCCCTGGATGCCTGTGGGGATCTGTTGGGGGGCCTCTCG